GGCAGTTTTTGCAATCCAGTGACCCCAAACCACCATCACCCAGAACATGTGTTTGAGAGAGTAAAGGAGTAAGATGATCTGAGAAGGTGGTTTGTGAGAATTGCCCCACCCAGACACGGTGTTTGGGGTGTCAGTATGGAGCACAACTCTGACTGACCCTTAGAAAAACCCAGAGTAAAGAAAAGGTACTTAGTCCCTCTAATCTGGCCTGGTCTAGGCCCAGATTTCTGCAGGCCACCACCTGCCAACCCCAAGGACTGGATTGACTGTCCTAACCTTCTAACATGAGAATGAGAAAGAATCCCTACACCTCTGAAGTTATACACCCTGGCTCTCTGGTAAATTTTGAACAGAAAAAGGTCAGGTATCACACACTTGTGTCATTCTCACAAACAGCCTGAGGCCTTTCCACACAACCAGATAAACACCCCAAATAATATAGCTTTCAGGGCGTCTACTGGATAGTCAAGACTCAGCCAACTTCTGGAAGTATCCACAGGCCTCCTCTAGACCAAGTGCAGGCTGATCAGGAACTCTGACAGGTGGAACAGCTTGACTGGTGGGGAGGGAGTGGCCAGCAGGGAGCAAACAGAGAGTGACTGTGACCACTTCCCCAAACACACCAAGAGTAAGCAGGACACACAGCCCAGGGACCCATTACCCACCGCATGTGACCACTTTTCTACAGCCACAATGTTTACCACCCACTAATTACTGCAGGAGTGCGAGCTGAGGGAAGCTGAAGGGCAGCAGAGGTCTTTACAGGAGAATGGATGGGCAGCTCTATTGACCTCCATGGAGAACAGAGACCAGGAAGAGTTGGGGGCGGAGGAAGGCCAAGACACCCATTCAGGACTACAGCTCAAACTGCCGAGAGACTCCCAGGCTGGTCTGGAGCTCAGTGCTAGCAGGATGTGCAGGAGCTCTTGGTGCCCTCCCCCAACTGGGGCACAGCAACACCTGCACTTCATTAGCAGCCAAATAAATGTCTTTCCAGTCTTCTCAGGAAAAAATAAAGGAACCCATACTGACCAAAGCTAAGAAGGTGTGACGTTCTGGTTTCAAAAGGCACAGGGCTGGGTATAATGGCGATATCACTGGACTGATAGGTAGTCCACCGTGGTTGGAGTCCTGGACATCGTTGCTTAAGCTCACGCTGGGCAAGTGTGTGTGCAGGCCCACGATCCGGAGAGGAGAATGGAGGAGAAAGGATTGTGCTCTGGCTGTACCCCCTGGGGGTGGGGATTTCTAGCTTTCTGTCTCTGTCTCTTTCTGTCTGTCTGGCGAGTGCGTGCGCCCAGCAGCAAAAACCTCTTTAAAAAAAAAAAAGTGCGTCCAGCAGCAAAAACCTCTTTAAAAAAAAAAAAAAAGGCACAGGGCTGAGGGAGTGAGGTCACTGCTGGGCCTGAAGAGGGGGGAAAGGCATCTGTCAGCCTGGCTTGGTGGTGCCACTCAGGACCAATTCCCCGCCCAATCCCGCCCCCAACCCGTACTAGGCTCTAGAAACAGCCTGGCCATAGGTCTCTGGAGCATCCATCCAACTGGCTTTGGTCACCCACCCAAAAGGCCATCACTGTTGCCTCCAGCGGAGACATCCCGATCTTATAAACCTGTCTGGCAGGGTGCTCACCTGCGAGCAAGACCCGCTGATGTCAACACCACTGTGGCCCTCGTAGCTACGGATCCTCCATCCCTTCTCCCTGCAGAACGGAAAGGAGTAAGAGCCCTGTCCGCGTGAATAGCTCAGCGTCAACAAAGAGCTGCCATGGTGCTAGCACTGTTCGTTGTTCCAGGATTGGTTGGGGGAGAGGGGCGTGGCCCTAGGTCAAACATGCGCGGGGCGGGGACGGGACGCGCCTGTTTCCTACTGGCGATGCTGAAGGCTAGGATTCACTGGTCGCTGGGTTCGGTGCCCAGACCCGCCCCCTGGCTCCCAGATCCGCTTGCGCCTGCTGTAGTGCGCTGTGCCCGCCAATCAGCGAGCTCGGGGCGTGGTCTGCTGAAGGTGGGTCTGTGGGCGTGGACTGCGGCGCACCTTTCTCAGTGTGGGGTGGACTGGGGGTGGAAGGTTTGGGCTGCAAAATTCTTGAGCAGGAGACCAACGGAACCTGAGGGTCGGGGAAGGGTCACTGACTTAGGATAGAGTCCGGGCGGTGGCGGCCTTCCTGACGTCAAGGGACCACGATCAGGCTGCGGGTCAGGGAAGGGTACCTGCGGGACCTGCAGCGCCGCTTGAGGGAGCAAGCCTGTGTGCGGGAAATGGGGCGGAGAGCAGTTCGAGGGGGAAGCTGGGGTTTACCATGGCCACCATGGCCCCCACTCACCGCTCCTCCTGCCACTGGTGTTTTTTTTTTTTTTTTTAGAGGATTTTGCTGTAGGGCGCGTGCACTTGCCGTAACTAGAGAGAGACAGATAGACAGAAAGTGAGAAATCACCCACTCCCCCCAGGAGAAATGGCCATGCCACAATCCCTTCTCCATTCTCCTCTTGGGATCTTGGGTACGTAGGCACACGTGCTGGGCGTGAGTTTAAGCCACCGGGTCCGGGACTCCAACCGCGGTCAGTTACATGGGAGTCCAGCTATATAGCCATTACCTTAACTGCTGGTCCCTGCAGGGTTGTTCCTAAGGGCGCCATCCGCAAATTGCTTAATTCTTTTTTTCTTTTAATGCATTTTTTTAATTTCAAAAAAAAGTTT